CAGAACTTCTAGAAGTACTCTGAGACATACTCGGCTGAACCCCCTGGGAACACACAATAAACCCATCTCCTTTCTGATGGGTTAAGGAGAGCTTAGGTGGGTGAACTTGAAACCGTAGGCAAAAAACCAAGCGTGGGTAACAGCGTTAGGTGTGGGCGAAGAGGATGCCTTCTGGGGAACCTGTCGTGGCCTCCTCCTGCTGTGCCCCTGCCCACGGGGCACAGGTTTGTGGGGCCAGGGAAACGTAGACACCCAGCGCTTGTGTCCTCACTTCACGCATCAGACAGTTGAGATTAGACCTTAGACCTTGGAATCCCTGTCCAAAGTGACCCAAGCCCGCTTCTGATGCCTACAGGAGCCTCTCTCCAGGTCCATTTTCACAAAGGCAGTGCTGCCCCATGGTGCACACCCTAGGGCCCAAGTCCTGGGTGGCCAAGGGATGGTGGTGTGCAGCGACAGGGCACTTGGGAGGCGTGTGCTGGGGTTCCCTCGCAATGTGGCAAAGAACCAGGTGGGAAGAGGAGAGGCCTGGACCACTGGATGGCCAGCTGTGACACCACACTGTGGCAGAGACTGGACTCTGAGAACTCCAAATTCAAACTTGGCCTTCCAGTATGTTATGTCAAGGTAGGAGGGTGGAACAGATTTGGGCTCAGCTTGATTTACAACTTTTAAACATTAAGACCTGGCATGTGGGTCTCCATTTGCATTCTTGCCTCTGACTTCACAAATGTTGGGGGGGGTGCGCCTGATGGCTAAAGACATGTACTTTAGTACCAGATAGGCCAAAACTGAAACATCTGAGTGTGCCATTTATTATGTGCCTCGGGCAATTTACTTCAACACTCTAATAATACTGATGTTAAGGCTCGTTCGGTTCCAAGGAGTATCCCAATTCAAATGGACTTGTAAGTAAGGGATTTGTTGGTTCCTACAACTGACAAATCCAGTAGTAGAAACCTCAGGTGTGTCTGGATCCAGCAGTCTCACCAGCAACCTCAGCACATGGTCTCCACATCTTTGGCCCTGCTTTCCTGTGCTAGCTTCCTTCTTGGGCAGGACTACGCACATGGTCATAAGCTTACATCCTACTTACGAAGCAATCCCTGCAGAAAATGAAAGGTATCACTTTTCTAAAGATCTGGCAAAATCCAGGGATCTGATGATTGGTTATATGCCCACCATAAAGGGTCTGTGTCTATCCCCTACAAATCATGTGGATTAAGAGTCAGGGAAGTCGTTTTCACCAAATAAAAACTAAGATGCGGTTACCAGGAGAATGCGGCAAAAACGAGTGGTTTGATGGGGGAATAAATGCTTAGCGCTCAACGTGAGCCACTACTGATGTGATGGAGAAAAGGCAAATAGACTCAAACCTAGGTATGCATACAGAAAGGAAAGCAAGTGGAAACCGTGTTCGTTTTCCAACTGCCCCGAATTCTGGAATGAGTTGGCAGCTTGAAGAAATGAAGCCTTGGAAATGCACTCACAATCTCAGAAGACACACTACGGTCGTATGTATGAATCACGCTTTCGGCTGCTGTGGCTGATTCTGCAAACACCAACCTGTGCCCATCAGTGCGCCTCAGCCTCAAAACTTGGGTATGACACCAAGCCTTGTTCGCCAAGAAGACTGTTACTGGAATTGTGTAGAGAAGCACATGAATCCCCAAATTATTAAGTTTCTAGATACGCGGCCAATTTGGGGCAACGTTCAGTCTCTCTAACGCTGAGATAACCTACTATCACTGAGGACTCATCACAACAGTGTCTGCTTTCTACTCGCCTCCTGTCATCTCCAGCTACAGAACAATCTTAAATATTGAGGATCCTTCTTACCTTGATAGAAATTGACCAAGACTATTCATAGATCTCTAAATGTGCACTTTTGTGGTTTACACTTTTTTTCTATTTTTGATGATTGATAAAAATAGGCTATATACATTTTAAATATTTCCCCAGTTTTTTATTTTGAAAAATTGCAAACCCACAGAAGTTCAAATAGTACTAAAATATTAACGCCGCCTTCACACACACACACATTTTTGATCAAAAAAAACCACAGTGGCCTCTGCGCTATGTTAATATCCAGATACCTTCTCCATGCTTACGAGAGAAGCAGCCTCATGTTTAGTGAGAGGAGCAGTGTCCTCAGGAAGCTTCAGTGTTCTTTTTTGTAGGACTTCACTGATCTCATTAGAAACTCACAGCCCTGCAAGGCCCTTTGCACAGGATTTATTCCCATTTTACAGATGAGGAAACAAACTCAGGCCAAGTGATCTATCTGCTCAAGGTTTGTCAGTAAGTGACCCAGACGAACCTGGAACCAAAGACTTCTGACTTCAGTAACTCAACATATTCGGGTCACTTCTCTCCTGGATATACAGTGAGAGTAAAGCCGGAGCCAAACAGATATGCAAAGAAGTGTTTTAGCTTCATTCTTCCGACCGTCTGAAAGCAAATATTCACCAGGACCCATGTGCACAGCATTATCAATCAGAAGTCTTATCAGGAGCATAAAACTGCAATGGAAATTGAGAGCAGAAGGGTGCACACAGTGGGTATAGAAATATCTGTTAACTGCCCCCAATTCGACTTCAGTATTTACCGAGCGCTTACTCTGTTCCCGGTATTGTGCTTGGGATACCGAGCAAACAAGATAGACAAAGATTCTGCCCTTGTGGAGCTCACATGCCCGTGGGCTAATGAACAATCCAGAAGCTGCCAATGAGAGATTGGTGGGCTGCATCTGGCCCACATTAGTGTTTTGTCTGGTCCACACTGTTTCATTTTTGTCTTTTTATAATAAGTCGCCAACTTCTAGCTTCTCTGAAACAGGCAACTTCTGTGGGATTCCCGAATAAGAAGTAGCAGCCAGGACACGTGTCTCCTGGAGATCACTTCAGTTCCCAGGATCTCTCACTGTCTTACACCCAGGCAACTGTGGCCCAATTCATGCATTTGCGTTTCCTACTCGACATCCTAAAGCATTTAAGCTGAAACCCCTGAAGCAAACAAATATTCAAAGGAGATCATTTCAGATCAGATAAAGTCATACAAAAGAAATAAAATGAGCTAACGTGACAGGAGTGACAGGATTGGTGGAAAGGGCTACTTCAGACTGGGCGGCCAGGGAGGGTCTCTCCGAAGTGTAACTGAAACAGAGAACTGCATTACCAACAGGAAAAATGCTTCGAAGCAGAGGGAACAGCACGGGCACAGGTTCCACTTGGGGCAGGAAATAACTTGGCCTGGTCAAGTAACAGCAGCAAGTTTGGGGTGGTTGGGAGAGGGGTAAGAGGTTCACAGAGGAAGGAAGAAGCCAGATTACACAGGACCTTAAAGGCCATGATGAGAATCTTGGATTTTATTCCAGGTGCGATAGGAAGCCTTTGGAAGGCTTTTGCTTGGGAACAATGTGATCTGGTTTCAAAGATCACTCTGGGATGCAGGGAAGTGATGTAAACGAGGCAAGAGAAGAAGCAGGGAGACCAACGAGAAGGCTGGATTATCGTAGTCCAGCAGGTGACAGTGGCTAGAACCAGGATGGTTAACAGAAAAGATGGAGAAAAGCAGATTCAGGATATAATCTGGAGTAGAACCAAAAGAATTTTCTGATGGAGTGGATGGCAATAGTGCCAGTGGGCCGGAAGGATTAACGAAAAGGGAGTAATGAGAGAGAACTCCAAGGTTGTGCCTTGTTCAGAGGGATGTCTAGGGGAGGCCCCCATCGCAGGGACCGAGGGCAAGACGGGGATTTCGGATGAATAAATTTTGCCAAGACGCAAGTCGTCCTAGAGCCTCATTTCCCTTCTCCCACACCCCAGCATTCTCAAATCCAAAAAGCTGAACTTGTAAATGCCTCACCTCTTACCAACTCTATCCCTTCAACTTCAGACCCACCGCCTCCGTCTGGATCCAATTCTGTCTCTTGCCGGGACTTTCCCAACAGGCTTCTACAGCTATGAATTAACCAGCAAAAAGCACTTACTACCCACGCATACCTCTCTCCCACTAGCCATCCTTGATGGCAGAGATGACACCCTATTCGTATTCATCCCCGGTGCTAGTGCTGTGCTGGGCCCACAGTGGGCACTCAAATATTTGATGAACTGAAAAGAGGTCTCCTCAGATAGAATACAACCTCCTTGCAGAGAGGAGTCCTATCTTGGAATTCTAGCATTCCTCTACACAACTTAAAGAACCAGCTGCCAAATGTATAATCAAGTTCCAGAAACTTCGCCTTCCCAAGGGACGGGTTTCTTTCTTTTTCATTTAGTTTCAAAGCATTGAGTCCCATATTTACCTGGTAGTTAAGAAACAAGATTGGCCAACAGACAACGTATATTATTACCCTTTTCCAGTTTTCTTCCAAATCTAGGGACTTTATATGTGCATACGTTAACAACATCTTTGTAAGGAGGCCAAGAGAGAGGATTATTCTCCATTTTACAGGAAAAAAAACTGAGGCACCAAATGAAATCCCTAAATTCCTTTTTGATGGAATTCGGAGCTTCGCCTGGATTAAGACTGGTCCTTCCCTGACACGATCCCACAGTTCTGTATTTGGAGGGTATCCCAGGCTCCCACCCCTGCAAAACTGCTGGTTAGTACTCAGGGGTTCCCTAGGTTTTGCCTCCACAACTGCAAACTCCTTTGGGTACCAGGGTGTGTTGCCCCAAGGTCAAAGGCCATGTCCTCTCTCTCCAACTGTCCATTTCCCTCAGCACCTGGTGAAGACAGATTCCATCCCTTGGGCCCAGGAGAAAGAGAAGCACCTTGGTCATTAGACCAGGAAGTCAAGTAAGGCCAGGAGTCACAACCGGCAAGAAGAGAGAGATCAAAATAGGCAAGAAGAGTTTCAATGGGGAAAAGGAGAGAGGAGCCACCACTAAAAATCCAAATACTCCTTTCAAGAGGCTTCCAGCTGAGGAGTACCTGGGAGGAGGAAGTGGCAGCCGTGGCGCAGGCCAGATCCTTCCTGCCACACCCACCCAGAGTCATTTCTTCAAGGCACCCAGGCTTCTCAGAGCCTCCTGGGCCTGGGTCAGCTGCTGCTGCAGCCTCTGGCGGGTGCTCTCGTTGGAGGCCCGCTTCAGGAGGCCCTGCATTTCTTCTACCACCGCCCGATGGCCAGGGGTGTTATGGAAAAGCCGCACTGCCCGGTCCCCACAGGAGGCCAGAAGCCGGCCAGTGATGTCAAAGGACAAGTCAGTGATACACTCCCCATGGACCTGCTCAAAGCACTCCTCCTTCTCACCCCGCCGGGTGTTGTAGAGATGAATACTGCTGCCACTGGCCAAGGCCAAGACCTGGGCGTCAGGGGAGAGAGCCAGGCGGCACGGCATGGTGCTCGCCTCTTCAAAGCAGCCTGTCCTCAGCAAGTAGGGATCCTGCTGCTTCTTGTACTCCACATCTGTGTCCCACAGTTTCCACGTCCCGTCCTTGGAGACCGAGGCCATCCTGCAGCATGGAAAATCACAGCTCGAGCCCCAATGCACCCTGGAGGGGAGGGCACTGGGACAGCATTAGGGGCTCCAGCTAGGAAGCCAAGTGCATGGCTAGGTCTACTTCCTGCTGAGGGCCGGGCACTCTACCCACTTCAGAGCTGCTGCAGAGACAGGCAAAAAAAAGGCCCTGGTTGCCAACAGGGGCTGGGAGCCGCTAGTAAGACATCAGAGAGGATTCACTCACCTACGGGAGTCATTGGAGAAAGCGAAGAAGTGGACGGCGGCCGAGTGACCCTTCAGTTCAAAGGCTCGCACAACCTCCTGGAAGTCCCCTTTTTTCCCAAAGCAGACTTCCCAAACTTTGACATCCGGGGTGAAGCCACACGAGGCCACAAACCTGTCACACAACCAGATTCCTTTACAACTTCATCTTGAGGGCACTTCCTTTCTGCCAACCTGCTAAACCTCATTCCTGAGAAAGTGCATCATCTTCTACCTCAATAACACTGTGCTTTTAAAAATATGACCTCGGTCCATCCTCATGGCCAGGCTAGAGGATACATGGTACCCCCACTGCGCGTGATTCCATACGGTCTGCTCCTTCCACTATCTGAAGCGGGCTCTCTGCTCTGTTCCTGGCCATGCCTTCTGCCCATCCCAGATGCCAAGTCCCTCCCTCCTCACCTGCTACAAGGGGATATAGCAGCATGGGTGTTGTTCATCTGGTTAGTGTTGATGGTAGACAGCACATGACCTTTCAGATTCCAGATGAGGATAGTTGTGTTACTGGAAGCAGTCATGATGAACTTCCCTGAGAGGGCAGGAGGGTGACATGAGCCAAGGTCAAGGCCCTGACCACGTGTCATCCTCTACGCAGACACTTACGAAGGTCTCCGCTGTCCCAAGTATCCATGCTCCCCTCCTGGACCAAGGGTCACCACAGACTAGGATTTTGCTGAACGCTGTGGGTCTTACCTGCCTCCCCTGGGGACCTGCTGTGGCTCCCAGGACTCCAGGGGAACCCAGAGCCAGAGTCCCTTTGTCAAAACTAGGGCTGAGCATAACTCTCGGGCAGCATTAACTCATTCGGCCAATAACTGGGGCTGTTCCCTCTAGTCTTAGGTAAGCTCCGTCCTCTGCAAGCCTCTTACCTGTGTCGGCAATGCCGATGTTGACGACGGGTGCCTTGTGCTTTTTGGGAAAGTCCTCTGGGGTGGCCGTGAAGGTATAGCCTCCATCCTCTCGCTTGGTCATCTTGAAGACACGAAGGGTGTCTCCGTTGGCCAGCCAGACGATGAAGGCTCTAGAGACAGGTAGCAGACAAGGCACTCACTTGTTTGGACACGGAGGCCTGTGTGTGCCAGTTCCTATGCTAGGCTCTGAGGAAAATCATGGGCCTTCCTTCGTACCCCAGTCCGGCCCTGCAACTTAACCCCTTGGCTCAAAACCTCTTACTACTCCTCAGAAGGTAGGCCTCTCCCAGCTTTGGCTCTTTCAGTTTCTCTCTAGGGTTTGGAAAACCATGACAGCTCCCAAGACGAATCTGGAGCCAGGCTTTGGTACTTCCCAAGTAGGAACACACCTTCCCCTCTCTGCTTCCTTGCTGTGTAAAATGCACAGACCTCCAGGGAGCCCCGGGCGGTGCTCAAGCTGTCCAGTTCTCTTTCTGCCACCCCCAGGGAGACCCAGGGTCCCCCCTCACCATCCCAAGTCACGTATGGGAAGGACAGAAGCCTGGGCTTCTGCAGGCACAGCTGAGGCTCCGTCTTGTCGCACCTGCAGTCAGGGCTGAAGCGCACTAGGGTGGCGTGGTCCAGCTCCACGTTGGCTCTCATGCTGCGGTGCTCCCGCTGCAGGAAGTCCTTGGTGCTCCAGATGCGGACGGTGCGATCATCTGCACAGGTGGCCAGGTACTTGCCATTGCTGCTAAAGTCCATGCAAGATATGTTCCCACTGTGGCTCTAAGGGAAGGGTTGCAGGAAGTATGAACAGGGACCCCTTGGGTAGACGGAGTCTGTTGCCTGGATTAACAGCAAGCTGCTGATGGGGTATGATGAGAGGGGACAGGATGGGGCAGCCCCCACTGATTTTGGTCAGAGGCAGCAGGGTCTGTCGTGTGCACAGAACACTAAAAGGAGAAGTCTGCGGGGGTGTGAGTCTTTGTATATGTGTGCTGAGCATGGGAACCCATGTACCTTCAGTGCTGCAGCCAGGAGGCGGTGAGTAAAGTTGTGTTGTTGTGGCTTCTCCTTGCGAACTCGCTGATGCTGTTTCTGCTTCTTGGATCTCAAGGACTTGTCAAGTGGAAGTCCATTTGCCTTCTGGCCTGTGAGGAAGGGCCGTGTCATCTATCCATCCGCTCACTAAGCATTTCTGACTGCCTATAATTGGCCAGGAATTGAGGGAGCATCAAGAGATGACCAGATAGGCCCCGGGCTCAGGAGAGAGAGTGATGGGAGTAAAAACAGGGTTTTTATCAGACTGGGTTTGGATTGTAGCTCTACCACGAGGGCTCTTGAGGAGACTGCTTGCTGTCAGTCCACATAGCACCTCAATGCAAGTTAGAAAAGGAGCCCTCTCTGCAAGAACAGCTCAGTGGGTACACAGCACAGCCAACAAAGGGCAGATCCTTGGCCACACATCCCTAGGTAGGAAATAATGTGCACAACCAAACCTGGTGGTCCTGGGCTTGGGCAAGTTATTTAATTGCTCTGGGCTTCGGTTTCCTTAAAGAGAAGTTGTGAGAATTGGACAATATATACAAAAAAGAGAAGCAGAGTACCCAAGACGAGTATTAAAGGCTCAGAGGACTCCCAGAAGGAACTTAAGGATGAGAGGTAGTCAGTACCTGTTGAGGGAGTACCTGTCCTGTGCCAGAAATGGTGCCAGTCACTTTTGTATAAAATAGCTAATTTAGGGGCAGCTGGGTGGCTCAGTCGGTTGAGCACTCAACTCTTGAGATGAGCTCAGGTCATATGATCTTGCGGTTTGTGAGTTCGAGCCCCCGCAGAGGCCCCGCATCTGGGTCTGAGACGACAGTGGGAAGCCTGCTTAGGATTCTCTCTCTCTGCTCTTCCCCTGCTGGAGCGCTCTCTCTCTCAAAATAAACTTAAAAAAGAAAAAAAAAAAGCTAATCTAATTGAGAATCAGATCAGTTGCAAAGTGGGCATGTGTTAGATTACTGCAGATGCTCCTTAATTCGTACAGAAAAAAAAAACTCCCGAGGCTCCTATACAGAGACCACCACGACCCGCCCTCTCCAGCCTTGTCCCGCAAGCGTCCTCCTCCCCCCTGAAGGGCATACCAAATGCCGTTTCAGAACTCCTTGCCTTCATGCATGTAACCTTTGCCAGCAGTATTCTTCCTCCCTCCTTGGCCAAACTCTGACCGTGTATCCTTCAAGACCCCACACCACGTGTTTCCTACTCTCAGCGAAGATTTTCTTGACCCCTCCCCACCGAAAAAGCAGGGCTGACCACTCCCACCCTTGGGTTTCCTGGTGCTAGGACTGACCTCTTCTGTGACACCTATTACAGTGTATTTTTCACTTACATTTTCGGATGTTCTTCTCCCTTACGCGGCAGTGTACTTCCTAAGGGAAAAGTCCCGACACCTACTGCGATAGTACGTATATACTTCAATAAACGTTGCTCATGTCGGGGAATGAGTCGGAGTACCTACAAATGGTGCCCGTCTACCCTCACCCCTCCCTATTTTCCTAAAATAACGAACAAGCAGCGCGCTCGAGAGAGTTTACAGGGGCTCTCGCGGCAACCCCGGGGAGACGCTGGGGCTCAGCGGGACAGCGCCTCGTCCTCGGCCACCGAGAAAGTGGCAGCGCCGGACCCACGCTGTAACTAATCCTCCCGAAGGGGCGCGACCAGCCCGGCGAGCCGGCACCTCGTCTCGAGAAGCGAAACTCATTTAACAAAAGGAGAAACTGAGGCCCACGGGGTCCCCCCCACCCAAACCGCAGGTCGGACCAGTGGGAGGCCAGGAACATGGTCCTCGTGGGTCGCCCCCACCCGCCCCTGCCCCACTAACCGGCGGATCGGCTGCTCGTCTCCTCCTCCGCGCGCAGCCACCACCCCCGCGCTATCGCCGCCGTCGCCATCAAGGCCAGCAGTCCGAGCAACAGCGACAGGCCCATCAGCTCCGGCAACTGCGGCAGCTCCATGACCGCACTGCCGCTGCCACCTCAGCCTCTAACTACGCGGGCGTCTGCACGCCTCCGCGGGACCGCGCACGCACACAGGACGGGGCCTGGTCGTTGGCGCGTCCCGAGGGGCGGGGTCTGGCCGTTGGGCAAATTGCGGGGCGGGACTTGACCTTCAGAGCGTCCAAAAGGGCGGGACCTGGCTGACGGAGTGTCTCGCGGGCGGGGCTTGACCGTTGGTGCGACTCGCGGGGCGGGGCTGGACCGTTGGCGCGTCCAGAGGGGCGGGGCCTGGCTGCCGATGCGTCTCGCGGGCGGGGCTTAACCGTTGGTGCGTCTCGCGGGGCGGGGCCTGACTGTTGGAGCGACCCGCTGTGCAGGGCCCACCCATGGATCGTGCCGAGGGGCGGGGCCTGGCCCTTGTGGGGTCTGGTTTTTGGGGTTGTGCTGTCCCCCAAGCTGGGGGGCGAATTCTGCAGGCTCCGCTGAGTCCTCTCCTTGAGTAATTTACTGATAATTGTTTATTAAAGGCGTTATTCCAGCCATCACCACAGTGGATCCTTTCAAGGAGCCAAGGCAGGAATTATTACTCCCATTTAACAGGTCTTAACATCAGAGGAAATTTAGATGGGCTTTTGGTATTAATGGAGGAGAGAAAGGGTAGCCCTAGAATTGAAGCATGGAATTATAGCCTCAGCAAAGACCCGGGAGGGGATGCTCTGGGAAGGCAAGGGCATGAGCAAAAAAAGTAAGTAGTAGATAAGAATGGAAAGATCTGGAGAGCCTTGAGAGCCAGCTGAATCCAACCAGCAGAAAGGAGCCTCTGCTGGTTATTTCAGGGCGAGTTAGGGCAAAACTGGTGTCTCTTGAAATTCTCTGGGAAGATCAGTTGTGTGCCAAAACCAAAGACAGAAGGAAAATCAGGAGGTGTTTGCAAGGATCCAAGAAGGAGATAATAAGGGCCTGGACTTAGGTGGGCTGGGAAGTGGAAAGGAACTTGAAAAGATTTTTAACAAGATATTTGTATTTTGAGATTATAGATTCACAAGGAGTTGGAAAAAACGGAACAGGAAGTTTCCACGAACGTTCACCCAGTTTCCCCCAATGGTAACATCTTACATAACTATAGTGTGATATCAAAACCAGGAAATTGGCCTGGATACAATTACAGAGTTCATTCAGCTCTAACCAAAAAGGAGATATTCTGAAAGACTGATAGTATTTTAATTAGACCTGCTTGGACAGAAAGGAAATGTTCCCAGAACAGGGAGCAGTGCTCCATGGGTTTCCCAGCCCTACAACCCAGAGTAAGTACCAGGGTCAGGGATTCCAGATGCAAAGTTTCCATGCCCAACAGGGAACCTCTCCTGAAGTGCAGGCTCTCAGGCCTTTAGAAGGACCCTCTAAGGAGAGAGGATGCTGCAGAGACTAGAGGACAGACAGATACACCCATAGCCTCGGTTGAGGACATAGATCCAGTCAGAGAACAAACAGAGGGTGGCCTCATTTCCTTCCCTTTTGTCCTTGGAGGTGTGTGTGTGTGGGGGGGGGGGATTGGCATGGACTCAGCTGTGGGCAGTGGTGGAAGCAGGGGGAGGGAAGGGGTCCAGAACATCCTGGGGCTTTTCCTCTTTAATTTGCTACTGAGAACTGTAGCACCAGCCATGAACCACTTTCTCCATCACCTAGAGACGAAGCTGTACTTTTTTTTCCTTTAGGTTATTTACTTTTTTATTTAAGCAGTCTCTACACCCAACATGGGGCTCAAACTCATGACCCCCGAGATCAAGAATCGCATGCTCCACTGACTTAGCCAGCCAGGTGCTCCGACAAAGCTGTACTTTGAGAAGAACTTCCTTTACTCACCTGGGTGGCTTAGAACTTCGGCTCGGGTCATGACCTCATGGTTCGTGAGTTCAAACCCCACATCGGGCTGGCTGCTGTCCACGTGGACCCCGCTTTGGATCCTCTGACCCCTCTCTGCCCCTCTCTGCTTGTGTGTGCTCTCTTTCTCTCTCTTTGTCCCTCAAAATTAGTAAACATTTTTTTAAAAAGTTCCTTCACCAAGCATTTTGTATGTGACATTGATTGATCCGGGAGCTTTGCATTTCATTTAATCTCACATTCCCATCCCACAGATTAGGAAACTGATGCTCTAGGAGGTGCTCATTAGGTGACTTTCCAGGGATCACACAGGGGAAGAGTGACATGGGAACCCATGCAGATCTGTGACTCCAATCTGTTGATGTGGGGGAAAAGGAGAAGAAAGAGTAGGATTCTGTGTACAGCTCGGTCAAGGCTACAAGATTCTTTCACATCAAGAATTTGGTTGATTTTTATAGTGGCCTTTAAGGCAAGTGATGCTATGAAATTAAGCAAATGGAAAGAAAAAAAACAACTAGGCTCAGATCAAGTGATTTACCCAAGGTCAACAAGGAAACAAGAGAAAGAGCTCATTGGGGTGGGTAGTAAACTGAGATGGGCTACACGCATATTCCTCCCACCTTGCCACTGGCCTCGCCACTCGCCACGCCACTCGCCACTCGGTGGGTGGTGATCTGGCCTGGCTCTTACCTCTGGTGTCACAGGGCTCAGCTGGAAGCCAAAGTCAACTTGTGGAAGGACAATCAATGACACAAAGCAGGATTTGGGAAGGCTGGGCAGGTCAGGGAAGGAACTGTACCGATGAGTTTGGAGGGGCAGTGAGACTTGGCTATACCTTTGGCCGGGTGGGCATTCAGACAGGGGAGGTGGAAGGGAGTGGCTCTGGCAGCCCATCTGGGTGAGTGTTGCTGATGGCACCAGAGGAATGTGAAGGGAGGGAGGCTGTGGAGAGAAATGAGGCCAGAGAGGTAGCAAGGCCCGTTCACAAAGCACCTTGACCATGGGCCCAGAAACCATAGTGGAAACACAACTTCACAATCTGCAACTGAAGACCCACCTTGTATTGATTGGAGGCCTTCCTACCTGGCCTCTGTGTTAGGCAAAACAATAAATTTCTTCCTTTGTTTAAGTAGTGGTTCTTGGAGTATGGACCCTGGACCAGCACCATTAGACACGCAGATTCTTAGACCCCACCCCAGACCTGCAGACTCAGAAACTCTGAACCACCCATTTAACTAACTTGTTCCAGGCATATGTTATTTGCAGCTCAAAGCCTCGATTACAGTGGTTCTCGCATATTGGAATCACCTTAAAAAAAATGCTAGTGTCTAAACTTCCACCCTGAGGGCTTCTGATTGAATTGGCCTGGACTGGACCCGGCTGTGAAGATTTTTTAAAGCCCTTCCAAGCTATGCAAATGCACGCTTAAGCTCGAGAAGTAGCTCCCAGGGATCCAGCAGGCCAGTACAAGACTGTGTAGGAGGGGATGCTCTGTTGGACCAGGGTGGCGGCTGTGGGGATGGAGGTCAACTGGCCAGTCCTTGGTAACGGATGGCTGTGTTCAGCTTGGACAAATGTCTGGGTGGTGGCACCCTTCCTGGGGATGGGGAACACGAAAAGGACCATGTTTGAGATGGAAGACTGTGGGCTGCAGTCTCAGAAATGATGAGTTCTGTTCCTTGAAGCTAAAGGGAGCTGTGAAACATTCAGAGGGAGGGGGCAGGGTGGCAGTTGGATACGTGCTTGAGTAGCTGCAGGGGCAGAGCAGGACAGATGCAGAATAGTGGGTCCTCGGCAGAGAGGCCAAAGGGAATGGTATTACCTAACGCTTGCCACCAAGTGAGAAGTGAGCCAGGAAGGGACTGGCCAGGAGGAAAAGCCTCCCACAGCAGGCACTGGGAAGGCACCGTCAGGCAGGTGGGAGAGCCTGGAGAGAATTCAAGAGTCACAGGGAAAAAGGGGTTCAAGAATGAGGTCCAGGGGCCCAGGGGCGGTGGGGGAGTATTGAGGGAAAAAGAGCACTGCAAAGTGGTTGTTGGATTTGGCAACAAGGGAGTCATGCGACCTCAGTGAGCGTGAGTCAGGGCAGGGGTGAGGCTGGGGTGGAAGCTGGCGGAAGGAGACCAAAGACGGGGGGTGAGTGGGAGGGGAGGAGAGAGGGAGAGCAAGTGTAGATAACTTTCTCAAAGGAAAGTGGCATCTATTGGGGGGACACAGGGTCAGAAGGAAGTCTCACAGGGACCTTCCTGGAAGGGTGTGAGCGGTGAAAACAGAGCACACTGCTAGGATTTTACCTCTCAGCCACTTCAAACCTTTGTCTGTGGCAACAAATAGCACTCAATGCCTGGGTGCACCTGGTACCTGCACAGTAAAGAGAGGTGACTAGGGGCGCCTGGGTGGCTGAGTCGGACTGAGTGTCAGACTTTGGCTCAGGTCATGGTCTCACGGTTTGTGGGTTTGATCCCTGCATCGGGCTCTCTGCTGTCAGTGCGGGGCCTGCTTTGAATCCTCTGTCCCCATCTCTTTCTCAAAAATAAACACTAAAAAATAATTAGGGGCGCCTAGGTGGCTCAGTCAGTTAAGCATCTGACTTCCGCTCTGGTCATGATTTTGCGGTCTGTGGGTTTAAGCCCCGTGTCAGGCTCTGTGCTGAGAGCTCAGAGCCTGGAGCCTGCTTCAGATTCTGTGTCTCCCTGTCTCTCTGCCCCTCCCCGACTCACACTCTGTCTCTCTCTGTCTCTCAAAAATGAGTAAATATTAAAAAAAATTTTTTTAAAAAGAGAGATGGCTAAAAGCAGAGACTAGGGTCAGACGGTGTGAGTGGGCATCTCACTAACCATACGATGTCGGGCTAGTTAACCTCTCTGTGCCTCAATGTTTCATCTGTAAAATGGGGGTGCTAATCGTAACTATTATGATAACTCTTACGTAGTGTTACATATGCCAGTCACTGCTGTAAGTGCCTTGTATATATTTACTTTGAGATCCTCACAGCTGGCCCATAGAGGTAGGTGTTAATATGTAATAAGTGAATTAATATATATAAAATGCTTAAAATAGTTGGCACGTAGTAAATCCTAGAGGAGTGTGCAGTTAGTATTGTCATCGCTATTATGATTCCACATAAATGAGGGAAAGTCAAAGGCCACAGAAGACTGTTTGCTGTTTATATCCTGCAAGCATCTGCAGAAGTTGAGATGTGAGAAGATTCAGACTCCCCCGCCTTGAGTCAGCTTCATGAGGAGAGGGATCCAGTGGTGAACAGAATCCCAGCACCAAGACCATCATCTAGGCCACAGTGGGCCCTCAGGAAGGATCTGTTAAATGGCTCCATAGAAGAATCAATGAAATATGCGGACCATTCACCCCAACTCCCCATCTAAAGTATCAGTTCCTTCTAAGACACCCCAACCAAGTGTGTGTCTGCCCTCTACTGGCACATCACTACCCCCAAGGGCAACACATTCTCCTTCCGGATGGCTCCCTGTGATTTCCACTCATGGGCTCGGCTCTGCCCTCTTCCAACTTGGAAGGTGGTAAGCCTTTCTGAACCTTCTCCTGGCCATGGAGCGAGGATTTCCAGGACGAGTGTCTGTCACCTCTGACCTGGATGACAGCAACAGCCTAAAACTGGCCTCCTTGCTCCTTGCCCTTGCCCCATGGTGGCCTCTTCCTGACTCCGCACCCAGAGAGATCCTGTGAAGACCTTATACCTGATCTTGTCAAACCTCTACTCCAAACCCTCCAGTGGCTTCCAGCTCAGAGGAAAAGCTAAGGTCCTTTGAAGGCCACCTCCCGTTGCCAATTGGCTCTGTCTATCCGTCCCAGTGAGACACACTGACAGTCCCCAACAGTTTTTGTTTTTATTGGTTGAAAATCCTTTACAAAATCCACACACACTCATCCACACGCACACAAGATGCCTGCCCTGGTCTGGCCACCTCCTGCCCTGCTCTCTCCTGGGATCAGACCTTCCTGGCCTCACCCAGGTTTGCCATCCTGCAGCACCCTACCCCCCACTGGGCTACCAGCGGAGGAGCAGAGAATGGGACGCTCCTTTTCTGTCTCTCTGATCAGAAACAGAGGCCTGTGCCCTATTTGGGGGGGGGAGGAGGTACAGGGAGGGATGGTGGGGAAACAGGATCATCCCCCTTCCTCCTACAAGCTCCCTGAGTTGTCAGCTTAGGCCCCAAGTATCACAGTTGCTAAGGCCTTGGGAGCATCTTCTGGTTGAAACTTCTCCATCCCCATTTTTCAGACTGGAAAGTGAAGGTCCCAAGAGAGAGTATGAGTCCTCCAGGTCACGGTGTTAGTCTCTGGTGGGGCAGGGAATGGAACGCCGTTCTTCCTGGCTTCCAGGAGGTGGAAGAGATTTGGGCCCTGCTAGACCCTCAGGAAAGGGGACAGCCAGGGCAAGGGGCAGGAGGGGAGTGCCCAGAAGTTGTCCCTGGAGCCCAGGCCCAAGGAAAGCAGCCCCTGGGCAGCTGAGTAAGTGGCAGTGTCTGGCCAGCATTATAAAGGTTTGCCAAGGGTGCCCTCTGTGACTGCCCGTGTGGCTTGCTCAGGTATACAGCCTGGATCTGTGAGGATACTGGTAGATGTGCTCAGCTGGCGGAGAGAGTTCAAGACAGCTGGGGAAAGAGAGTGAAAGAGTGAGAGAGAGAGTGAGAGTGAGAGAGAGAGAGAGAGAGAGAGAGAGAGAAAGGGAAAGATACCTCCTGGGTCAGGGCCCTCCCCTTGGATGTTGAGGACAAAGGGATAGCGGGGAGATACTAGGTGGCAAGACTGTCAGCCCCTCGTAGGACCTCTGTCTGCAGGTGTCCTGGTAGCCAGTGGACTATCCAGGGTACATAGTGGGATGGCCCAAACTCTAGGCTATTTTGAAGTCGGGCTGGACCTACAGTCTGAGCAGGTGGAACCCTCTGCCTGGAGGCCTGGACATTCTGGTGGGCAGGCAGGTGGCTCACGTACTTGGCCGGAGAGCAGGCAGGGAGCAGTACTGGTCCAGCCAAGCCAGTGAGGTCTGACGGAGGCTCTGCAAGCTTGCTGTGGACACCATCCCATTGAAGGACTCGAACAGAGGCCGAATGAGGATGCTGAACTGGGCCCAGGTCAAGGATCAGGCCTGTTGTCCACCCAGTACCCTCACCCAGCTCACGTGTAGCTCTGACATCTGGGCCAAACAAGGGGAAGGGCCTGGCCACTGTGGCACCTTGAACCTCGAGGCCTCCCGCTATAGCTACCATCCAATTCTGCCCGGCTCCTCTATGCCCTTCCTCTAGCTGGACTATCCCCCCTCCCTGGGCTTCCTGCCCAGGCTCAGCCAAGAACTTGACCAGGTAAGGGAGTGAGAGATTCCATGTCTTCTTTAGGACCGACCCCACTCACATCACCCAGACTTTAGGCTCTTCCAAACTGCCCTCGGAACATTCTGCGGGCGGGGCTGTGTTCCCCTCACCCAGGGGCTCCTCCCTCGGTTGCCCTCTGCTCCCAGCTAATCACTGGACACTCCTGCTGGCCAAGATGCCAAGGGCCTGGAAAGAGGGAGCGGAACCGGGGCCCCTTCCCCTGGGAGCAGCTCTGGGACCCTGCCTGGCCTGTGGCGCTGAGCCTGCAGTCAGACACAGCTTGGTCCGGCTGCGGCGCTCACCCTACCGCTGGCCAAGTAAGGATACCACCCAGAACTTCCAGTTGTGCAGTGTCCGGGTGCGGACATAGTCGTTGAACATGTCTCGCATCTGGTCGAAACGCTGGTGCGTGATGGGCACCCCGGTAGCAGGCAGCTGCTGCTGGCACAGGCTGGGGGGTACAGGGGGCTGGTCAGGGCTTGGGAGTCCTGCCCCTTTCCCCCATGGCGCATGCGTGCGCACGCGCATGCGCACCCCCTGCCTACACCTACTTAATGGCAGCGTTGAGCTCCTCGATCTGGTCCCGTAGCTGCTGGGCCTCCTCCTGCATGGCCGCCCGCTCCTGCTGCAGCATGGCGATGTACTCGGCCGTCTTCTGCAGTGTGGTTGCTTTGCTCACCTGCAGGCATCCCCAGTGTGGCTCAGGTGCTGGAGGTGGCCCCACTCTGGGGCCCACTGAGGAGGAAACTGGGTGTCTGGGGGGCCCTGGGGCTTGGTCCTGGGCAGGGGGGCTACGAAGGAGCCCTGTGGTTCCGGGGGTGCCGGCCCGGGCTGGAGGCTCACCTTGAGGCTGGGCTGGGCGCTGAGTGTGCTCACCAGCCCGTGCAGGGTGTCAAACCCCAGCTTGATATTGAAGCGCCTCTTCTGCTCTGCAGAGATGTGTGTGATGCGCCGGTTCTCAGTCTTGGGGAGGCAGACAGGGGGGTGAGCCTAGGAAGGAGCATGGAAGGGCCTGGGGGTAGCAAACAGATCTTGGGGTGAGGGAATGGTGCCACCTTGTTGTTGTCTGGACGACCCCGGCTTAGGATGGGTTGAGGGGGAGAGACGCAGACACTCAGGGTCCCCGGGCCTGGAATGGAGTTGAGTTCCCCAGACAGCCTCCGCTCACCACCTGTGGCGGGGAAAGACAGACCCCCAGACAGACCGACACAGGGGAGAGGGGTCCCATTGCCCCTTCCCTCTCATCCTGGCCTCAGATGTGGGCCCCCCTTCTTCCTTCCCCTTTCTCCATCCCCTAGGGACCCCCCTCCCGGATCCCTGCAAGCCCTCTTTACCGCTGTGTGCTGGGGGCGAGAGCCGCTCCGCTTTGGGGACAATCAGGGGCCTGGGAGGTG